ATATTTACAAGTGGCATTTTGCAATTTTCTATTTCCCACATTAATAACAGAAATTTTTCTTTTTTAATTTTGGAATTTTATAACTTGACAACAAATAGTTATCGATATATTCGATAATTATCGATATTTATCAGTTGCTATTATTGTTATCGACATATCGATAATTACTGATAACTATTGATATATCGATATTTTTGCCCAACACTACTCAGGTCTGCAAACCCTTGCAAATGAAACTTCTAAGTCAACGGAATCAAAAGATCTGTTGGTTATTATCTGTTGATTTAGAATCATGAATTTTGGCAAGAACAGTGTGTTAGAGTAAAGAAAAAATCCGAAAACCGTAAATTTGTAGTTACATCACAAAAAAATAATTTTTTAACTTTTACGTTACGTTTTGGGGGACTAGTTTTTTGAAGGAAAACCTAAACCATACTCGAAAAAAGCAGAAAAAATCTTCGAGGCATCTACAAGTTTGTACAGAACCTTCGTTGCGCTGATGCAAAGAGCTAAAATCGTGTTTTTTTTTTCAAAAAGAGTATATAATCTCAAAAATTACTACAGATAGATACAGGGAACTGTTAACGTAGTCGACTTAAAATTAAGCAATGAAACCAAAAATAAAAAATATACAGGGTGTTCTATTAAAAAAACGACGTTAGATAGCACCCTGAAGAAGTGGGCCATCTAGTAGGATTGAAAATATTTTCTGTATATGCACCGTACGATTCCAGATCACTTTTACAAAAACATATTTTCTATTAAATATATAGTAACAGAGTTAAAGACGCAAGCGCCTTAGGTGAAACACCCTGTGTAAATATAGAGGTTATGTCATTAACAAACTTAATTACGCGTATTTTGAGAACAACAGTTAGGAACAAATTGTAAAATAATGGTTATTAACTAACACTTTATTTTACAACTAGGTAATTATAATTATATCGAGCAAAAAGGGCTCCTACCATTTCATGAATTTTAATAGGGATTTCTTCTTTTTTTAATGTACTTGATTTACGTCAAACTTAAATTTAAATGCCGAGATTAATTCGATAGATCAATCAAGACTGAAACATTTTACCGAATTTATATCGACTCTTAATTCAAAATTTTTATCTACCTTTAAATTCTTGATGATATCTAGACTTAAAGCAAGTAGTTTTGCTTCATATTGCAATAACACATTTTGATTGTTTGTATGAGTCTATTTAACGTCTATTAGTAGAAATATTTAACTTGCTTTGAAAATGTTATCGAAATCAATTAAACCAACCTGTTCCTTCTAACCTATAAAACGAAATATATGATAGCGTTCCTCAATTTTCAAAGAACAATGTTTGCAGAGGCTTTTTCTGAAAATTTACTGGTGTTTTTATTTTATTTATTTATTTATTTATTCAAGATTAATAATGCAATTTGCCTCTGTGGGACGAAGAATAAGTTGATTTTGTGAATGAGTGAGAGAGAAGAAATAAAGCCTCGCAGGCTCTTAGATCCGCTAGTTTCCCATTACATTCATCTCTGTTCATTAATTTTTTTATCCATTTTACCGATATTTCACAAATTGGTTTCTTTTATCTTGTTTTTCGCTTCGTTATTTTTTTTTTCACGTTGAGATAATTCAAGGTGAAATATATTTTTTTTACTCCATTGTACCAGCGCCGTGACCAGACTTTTAATCAAGACAGACTAAAAGCCAAATTTTTCACGTTTATATTTCGAAATTTGGTTTTTCTGCCTCCGAAGAGTGTACTTACATAAAGAAAATCATACAAAAGCTCAAAAACATTTAGTTTATTTATGAGTATTTATTTAATTGTGGATACAAAAATAAAATGTTTGCTGGGACACATAGTAGAAGTGAAACTTCAACGAACAAGTGGAAAAACGAATCGCAATAAACGAGCATTGTTAACGTACTTGTCCAATTTGAAAAAATAAAGGCAATGATATCCAGTCACGTGGAGAGCAGAGGTAAGAAAACAGTTGAGCACAGCACACGCCGCTGGGACTCTAGCCGACATTCCGCTCTCCGCGCGGCTGCGCATTATATCCATCTAATACAGTCGTTGCTCTCTGCCCGCGGCCGTAATGCTTTTTCGTGACAAAAAAAATCATAATACCCCGTCTATATTGAAGTTTCACTTCAAAAAGGATTAGAAAAATTGCCTCGGCATGTTCAACCTACCCTAGCGTACCCCTGGCTGTGGCCCTGCAGTGTAAATAGCATAAGCTTTTTATTCACATGTTAGATAACTTTTTCGTTAACTGTTTCTTGATATTGCAACATGATAAGAGACAAATATGTATGAGAATTACTTTGTTCTTTTAGAGGGATTCTTAACAGCATGTTCGTTCGACTATCTGACAGACAACTTCGATACTCGTCTATTTGTAGCGAGTATATTTGTATGTTCCTACGTCATCCCTATGGCCTTAATCATATATTACTACAGTCAGATAGTAACTCATGTGATAAGACATGAGAAAGTGCTTAAAGAACAGGTAAAGTTTTCTAGTTGCAAAGTTTTTTTTGCCATTCATCCCGGCTCCTCCGCCAAAAAGACAAATTCATTCTTATAATCAAATGTCACACAGAGAAAAAATGGGTATGATGACGGAGATGTTGAAAAAACATGTCAAATATACTGATTAATGTAAATCTTAATGAAAATATTTATCCTCGGGTAAAGAATCACATCATTGGAGCCATTACAAAAGTAGTTTTGCGCCTCTTATCAAAAACTTCTTTTCGATGGGTTTACTATAGGTAATTTCTGTTTAATTCTGGCAAAAGCAACATACAGAAAGAAAATAAACAATTAAAAAACTTGCAATTCGGAATAATGAACAAATAGAGTAATAAAAATAACAAAATCAAAGTAGTTTTTCTATGTGGCTTCCTCCTACTTCTGTGCTTTTTCTAATTCTTTCGATGAAGGACTTTCTGACATTAAAAAAAAATATTATTTTCTGCCCCCCTAATAAAATAGCTGCATCTTCATATGTCCCCAAAAACAGAAATACATTGGATTGTAATCAAGACTTCTTGGTGGCCGTAGAAAGTCACTTTCTCTGCTTAAGATGATTTTCAGCCCCTAATGGGGCTAATGAGAGATCATTCAAAAGTATTTTGTAAAAAAATAAAAATGATTCTCCATTCAAGTTTGAAGAAAGAACATAATGGTCCAAGTAGTTAGCCGCCTATAAAGCTCTGAAATGGTCAACTGCGTTTTTCTCAAAAACAATTGAAATTATCAAGTTAAAACAGGTTTAACGATTTTACGGAAGAAAGATGTTTATTTCATGTTTTATAATCAAAATTATTAAAAAGTTTCGCCAAAAAAGTATGACTCATGATCCCAGAGACCTCTCATCAAAAAAAAAGTAAAATAGTAAGTAAAATAATATTTCTAGCATGAAGTTACAGATAAAGTCCCTTTAGTTTTTGTTTTTTTTTTAAGAAAGACTTACCGATAAACTTACCTACTCTATTCAATAATCTTTGGGGGAGGGGGTAAAACCTTATCCTGCGATTTACACAATGTTCTTGTTAGTTTTTTTTTGTGTTAAAACTGCCATAATGTTTCCAGTTATGTTATTAAATTGGGTAGTTAGATGCAGTAGGTGTCTTCTTTTGTCCTAGCTGGGTTAAATGATATGATTCTGCGCTCACATACGAAACGGATAATACCTCACCATTGATAAGGAACACTAAAGACATACATATTATCCAGGCTAAGTTCGGTTTAAAAGAGTCTTCAATTTAAACAAAAATGCATGCTACGGTTATGTTTGTTTATTTTATTTATTAATGTCAGGAAATATATAGTGGATCAGCCAAGATTATTACATATGGTCAGGACGGACCTACGGACGCATATTTACGGTCAGGGCTCAATATGGCGGATATTTATACTCATATTTTTAAGGCCTTAACTGCTATTGTATGTTCTTCGTATAGATAAATATTATAATGCAGTCATTATTATGTTCTTCGCAGAGGAAAATATTTTCAAGAATAGAACGTACTCCAGTCATCTTCACGGAGAAAATGAAAAAGGAAAATTTACCTAAATATTAAAGCGATATTTGCTATTTATCCCACTAGCTTCAAGAAACTTGAAATAATTTTTAAAGAAACATATCAAAATTGAGATTATTACAAGTTACCTAATAAATTCTACTATTTCTACAGCAAATGCAGTCATTTACAATCAAAAATTGTAATTTTTGCGTTATCATAAAAATTTAGTTTTCTCCGTTTCCAGTTCGATTCTGAATCCATCTGCCATGGTCCAAGTTTTTTTTTTATGATTCCTTGGATCACTTAAGCAATATTCCACAAACAATCTTTCACTACTTTTCTGTTTTCATTTCGTTCGTCTCATATTTCTCACCCTAACCACCACCCACCCGTTCCCACAATTCCTAAAAAGGAGGCTAAAGAAGACCTTAGCCCTACCTTCCGGCGTAGTCTGGAGGGTCTATTCGCTCATCAGCATTGGTAGCTGATAGGAATCAAACATCCAAATGTTTTAATTTTTCTATTGTTTATCGAAACTGTCTACGTATGATGTGCTGATGAAAACTAATAAGTTTGCACATCTGATGGTTTCGATATATCAATGACCAACAAACAAGTTGATGCTTTTTACTAAATTTTAGGCTAAAAAAATGAACGTTGATTCTTTGAGGAGTAATCAAGCCCAAGCGAATCAATCAGCGGAAATAAGAATTGCCAAAGTGGCATTGACAATCACATTCCTGTACGTGGCAGCGTGGACACCTTATGCTGTCGTTTCTATGATAGGAGCATTCGGAGATCAATCCCTTCTTACTCCTGGAGTGACCATGATACCAGCTTGTTTCTGTAAATGCGTCGCATGCTTTGACCCATATGTGTACGCTTTAAGTCATCCTAGGTACAGGTCAGTATCAATTTTGTCTTTATTCTTCATAAATTTAAGTAAGTTAAAATCGAAATTGTAAGAAGACAACTTTCTTTAGAGATTAAAACTCCCCATTAATTTTATAAATTGCCCTTTCAAATAAATCGCTACTTTCCATTCAGCCTAGGCGGCTTTGAATGCAGTGCTTATGAGTACCAGTTCACTTAGTGTTCAGTCGAATTTCCTATTATTTAACATTAAAATTCCTGACGTTTGGTTATATTTTGAGGGAGAATATACAATAATTGGACACCTGGACACAAGGTCTCAACGTCATCCAGAATATGGATAAATTTTACGGTAACATATTCGATTATGGGGGGGGGGAGGTGGATAGGGGCAGCAAGCGAGAAGCCTACTAGCAACAAGGGGTAGATACAAAGGGTGAAAGTGTCCTAATTTTTTTTAATTATATCATCGGGGTGATGCTCAGAAATGTAGGCCTCGGTATACTTTATTGAATTCCTGAAGGGTGAATACGTGAGTTGAAACAAAAGGTGTGGCGAACAGGACATAGACAAAAATTATTGCAAAAAAAGGTCATTCGAAATATGAAAAATTTAAACCAAATCATCTTCAAATATATTTTTAATTATCATTGAAATTCAAGGTCATAAATTGGTTTCCCCCTTTTTGGCAAAAATCACACGCTTAATCCATGTAAACTTGGTATCATTGTACGGATAATTTTTTTTACTATGCCTGACCAACACCTTTTATAAAAACCCCGAAATACCTTCTAAGATTTTTCAAATTAGGGCAACCTAACCTAATTGTTTATTAAGAAATGATTATTATTACTAAGAAAGAAAGAAATAAATAAATAGGTTATAATATGTTTAAAAGTTACGTTGATCTGAAATGTAATCCTGGAATGCATTTCGTGGTATTCCTAATGACGTTGGTGAAACCTAAGATACAAGACTAGACATTAGGCGAAGCGCCTATATTTCTACCATTGACTAAAACATATGATAAAACACAAACAAATATGTGAATGCAAATTGATTTAATAAAATAGGTATACCATTTCTTCTAACTAATGCTAAATCTAAACTCTGGCTCCGTTCTCCGGTTGTAATAAATCGCGAACGTGCCGATCGCCGGATTTTGTTATCGGTAGGGTGGTAGCCTTTTTTGATTAGGGAAATCCTCAATCAATAAGTCGATTTATTATACATAGTCGATAATACTGCAAACTTTGTGCACACTTTCGGATCCGAACAAAAGCCCGCTTTAACCAACGAGCTGTCGTTATATCCGGATTTAGAAATTTATATATGAACGGTGAAATTTACGTCACTAAAGCTGTAGTCGTTACCACACATGAAGACGAAAATTTTTACCTAGATTAACATACAATACAAAACCAGCCAAAAGTATAAAATTTCACCGCTATGAACTGCTTGCACTATGCCAAAAAACTGAATTAAATCCACGATATCCATTTTTGTAAAAGAAAATCGAAATCGATTAATTTTATACTACAATTAAGTCGAAGAGACCATAAACTTGCATTTCTATTTATTAAGTTATGCAAGTTAAGGAAAATTAATTCAACCAAAAGTTATTTAAGCAATGAAGCTATTTTAATGACCTGCTTCAACAACATTATACACAACTTTTGTACGTTATCATCTGCCATGAAAAATTCAATCAAATCTTTGTTTTAATTATTTTTTGTCCGCTGCACTCCAAAGCAGAATTCAAATTTTGTTATTAGCACAACTCGACGCTGTAATTCTTAAGAATACGTTCAATCGGTATCATTAATATTAATCGAGTTTATTCAGAGAAGCTTTCAAAATGAGAAAAAGAAAAACAATTTATATCTGAAACACTTAAATTCAGACAAAGGAAGGAACTGTTATAGTTTTTAATCTGTAAATGTTGCTTCTCTTCGTCACAGAGTGGCCTGGGTGGGTCAGACATTTTGGCACATAACCTAAAACGCTCTGCTTAATACAATTATGCCGCGTTTTTAATTAATGATGCAAAATATCTCTCATCATTTGTCCAAAATGAGAGCTTTTGCAACTTTTCTTTCGATAAACGTGATTGCTAAATTATTTACCCAAGAAAATTTCACTTTTCCACATTTCATGCAGGTTTAAGAGAAACGGGTGATCCACCATTTTGGAGTAGCCGCCATATTGTTTTTAGTATGATGTTACTCACCTTATCCTTTTCTAATAGTAGATTCCTTTCATTTTATATCCATATCAAGGAGATTAAAAAAAAAATGTATAATTATGTATACAAAAGCGTATGCAAAATGTCAATTGAATCAGTAAGTGGAACAGATTTAAAATCCAATTTGTCGGACACCCACCACACATACGGATTGATGAAGTTTAACTAATTTGACTTTACATGACTGTTTTCATCAACAGATTAACTAATCAAAAAAATTTACGTCAATCTCCTTTATTTTTGTAATTAACAAAATTATTTTTTTGTCGATAATAAAAAGCTTTCTTTTGTCAACAGTTATTTAAAGTTTACGCATAGTTGAATTGAATGAATTACTGCTGGTTTAATAATTTAGTAGAGAAACTCTAATAATTTTGCTACTTACTCAAAAACTTTGTACTGACGCCGCATAAAACTTTATTTTTCCGGTAATATAGTTTTATTTTATTTGCCATAATTTGCTGTTCATATTTTACGGAGCCTCACCGAGTAAGATGGTAAAAAGTGCCCTTAACCTTTCGAAAATCGATTGTAAAATGTTGTAGGTGATAATAAAAAAGATTTTCGCCAATGACCTCTCAAGGTCTTGTTTTGTAATTTTCCGTTATTTCAGCATATCTAAGCCGTCTNAAATTAAAACTAAAAAATTGATAATTTTCAAATTCAAATTTTCACTTTATTAAATCACAAAAAAATAAGTGTTCTGTATTTTGAACTTATAAATTGTCTTGGATTTTTTCGGATTTTCAAAATTGGTGGAAGGTAAAGCGAAAAATTGAAAACGTATTTTTTGACTTTATTGAAGGCAATTTATAAGGTCAAAATAAATAACATTCATTTTTTTGTGATTGAATAGGTCTTTTTTTTTTTTTATAGCCATTTAAAATTTTCGACCGTTTGTAAAAATTTGAATTTTGATAAAATTCTCACAAATTCGTGCTTCTATTACTTTTAATTTCGTTTCTTATTTTTTAAAAAATTTTCACAGACGAAACATGACCGTGAGAGGTCACGTGACCAATTAGAGGTTCAAAAAATTTGGCCAAAACCCTTTTTCGTTACTACTTACAGCTTGATTAGAATCCATTTCCGGAAAATGTAGGGACATTTTTACCATCTTACCCGGCAAGGCCCTTTGTAAAAGAACAACAATGCGCTTTAAAAAGAATCCTTTCACTGACTATAATTTCTGCTGATGGGTAGAAAAATTAAATAGCGATTTATTCTTAAATATAATTAAATTGGTACAATTTTCAACACCCTATATATATAGGTATGTAACTAGTAGTGTATCTTGTGGTTGGCTTGTTAGTCATAAAAAGTGTGTTAATTTGTTTTCGTTTTTGTTAATTAATTCCAGACTTGAGCTGCAAAGACGTTTGCCTTGGTTAGCCATCAATGAAGCACCCATTAGCGATAACGCTTCTGTTACGACGGAGGCAACAAATCCAAATAACGCAACTAGAACTTAAACTTGTTGCAAAAACTGAAAATTACACTCGGATGTCGGCCTATGCTATGAATTACGGACACGAAATAAACAAAAATGTGCAATATAAAAATTTGTACCTGTCGTAGTACTAATAATAATAATAAGATGAATAATAAACTTTCTTGCTGCAATGATACACCTGTAGTTTTCATTCCGGTTTTTTTTTTTTCTTAATAAAGATGAAATATTTTTTTCATTCTACACTTATAGTGGAGCGAAAAACTTCGGAAAAATTTGTAAGCAACATTCTTCGTGTGTGCTAAAATAACTTAGAGAAAAGCCTACCTAAAAAAGTGTCAGAGTCTCATTTTATTTAACAATTTAAAAGCATAAATACGGTTTCTTGCGAATAACTTTTCAAATTTTATTTGTAAGTACGTAAAAACTGATAGTGCCATTCGAAAGAGCTAGTGAAAAACTAAATATTTTAGAAAACATGAAGATATACAAACAAATAATAAAAAAGAACATCATACACATACAAATATACAACCAATCAAATGCCATATTCTCACCACTACAACTCACATCAAACTAAATATAATTCAGTCTGACAATGCAATGCCGAAAAGATATTCGTAAAATGGAACAGGTATATAAAAAAATAATAGATTTCGTAAGTATGTGTTAAACATCATCGACTACAACACAACAACTAATTTTCCTGTCCCTCGGGAACAGCATTTTTTCATCTCGATAAAAAGTACCCTATGTCCTTTTCTGTACCCCTGGCAATGTATGTACAAAATTTCATGATGATAGGTTGAGCAGTTAAGACGTGAAAAGCCTACAAACACACAAATACACATTTTCGCATTTATACTAATAGGATCAGAGATGTGATTTATTTGAAATACTTAAAAATTAAAATGCAAATACAAAATAAAAAGTACCTATTTTTATCTTGCATTTAAATACTTTTTTGAGAAAAGCATTTTACATTTTATTTAAAATACTTTTCCAAACATATTTTCTATTTGTAAACTGTAAAATACATTTTTGCGGTTTTGCTAGTTTCACCGATAAAAAATGATGAATGAAAGTTGCTCTCATTGGCCATTGAAGGTATAAGCTTAAAAATGGAACAAAGAGACATTCCGTGAATGCCTTCTAATTCTTTAATTGGAAAGAGCCCAAAAAATTCTAAACTCCTTGAAAATGGATAATCTAAAATATTGGATCGATATTGTTTTCCGGGTTCAATGTCATGATTCATGGAATTTTGAAATTCCACATTAATATCAGCACCTACCAAATCACCACTTATTGTACCTTTAGCAAGGAACTACGAAATTCTATGAATTACAACAAAACAGCCCACAAAACAATATAGAACTGATATACGACAGCTGTATAAAACTGAAATTACAACATATTGTGGTGTGCTAATAAATGCCTATAATCCAAAATTCTTAGAAAACGATTCGGTAAACTTCACTTATTAGATAAATCCAAAGCTAAAGAAACTATGGATTCCGTTTCTTTCTCTTATTACAATGT